TGTGTGTGTGTGTGTGTGTGTGTGTGTGTGTGTGTGTGTGTGTGTGTGTGTGTGTGTGTGTGTGTGTGTGTGTGTGCGCGTGCGTGCGTGCGCACGTGCGCGCGAGATCACAGGCCATTCCCATTCAATTCTGCGACTGCACGTAATTCTGTTGTTTAGTGCAGTAGACACTAAACTGCCAAGCTGATTAGTTGTGTCTTTCATCCTGCACTGTTTTACAGGTTTAGTGTAAGCTGATTTGGTTTTCTATAAAATGCAATGTAAAAGGAAGCTGGGAGGAAGATTAGAATAGTGTGAAATATTTCCTGTCACTTATGCTGCTGCGTGCTTCGTTGTGTTGATTTATGCTGTTCGTGAAACTTTTCAAGCGGCAGCACCTTGACGTGACAGGTACATTCTTTGAAAAAACCATCAATGCAGTGCATGCTTCCTACAGTATCACATTTAAGTCGCACAGGCCAAGAAACCTCATATGATTGTAAAGAAACTTGTGCTACCCTGTGCAAAAAAAATGGCGAGGCTTGTCGGCGAGGATGCAGCACAGAAGCTGAATGATGTATCAGTTTCTAATGACACAGTGTTGAGACGGATAAATGAGATCTCACAAAACATCAGTGAACAAGTTGTGAATGAAATAAAGAAATCTCCAATGTTTGCCATACAGTTGGATGAATCAAGTGATGTCTCACTGTCTTCTCAGCTTTTGGTATTTGCATGATACGTGGCTAAGGGAGACTTCGAAGACGAGTTTCTCTTTTGTAAGACTTGATACCACCACAAGGGCTCAGGATGTGTTAGAAATTATTAACAATTTCTTTAAAGTAAATGGTCTGGACTGGGTAAATTTGGTGGGTGTTACCACTGATGGCGCACCTGCGATGCTAGGCTCAAGATCAGGCTTTCAAGCATTGGTGAAACAGCGTGCTCCATTGGTAACCGGAGTTCACTGTTTCATTCACAGAGAGGCACTGGCATCAAAAACACTACCTGATCACCATTTTCAAAGGATTGGTGAAGGTGGTTAATTACATCAAATCGTCAGCA